CAGCACCTGGCCAAAGTCACCGAGGAGGTCCGCAGCCAGTTCTCTCCCTCCCATCTGATCACTTTCGCCGAGTGCCGCGACAACCTCCCCTACCTGGAGGCGTGCGTCTACGAAACCCTGCGGTACTCGCCGATCACCTCGGGCTTTTTGCCTCGCGTCTCCTACACAAAGGGCCTCACCATCCAGGGACACTACATTCCCCCAGGGGTGGAGGTTGCTATCAACCTCCATGGGGCACACATCAACAAAGACGTGTGGACAAATCCGCATCTCTATGACCCCACGCGGTTTCTAGGCGATGAGCAAGCCAAGCGCAATGTATTTGCCTTTTCCTACGGTCACCGCAACTGCATTGGGCGGAATCTCGCGATGATGGAGATTATGATTATCATTGCGAATCTCCTCAAGGAGTATGACATTGCACTGCCTGAGGACAGTGTGCATGGGCCGTGGAATGTGGATGCCTTGGGGAGGCCGAGGATCATGCCCACGCGCAGTGCGTTGTTCACCACGCCCAAGTATCCAGAGCGGGATTGTCGGTTGGTCGTGTCTCACAGGCAGTAACTGATACCAGGCGTGCCGAGTCTTGGTTAGTGGTTCTTTAGCTCTCGTATAAGTTGAAGCCAAGTATGCAATCTGCGATACGATGTAACCTTCGCCACAGGGCCCAGACCCCATGGATCAATCAACGATTGCCTATCTTAGGATCTGCAATCTGCAATGCGGTGTAACTTTCGCCACAGGGGCCCGACCCAATATATTAAATCAATCAACGCTTGTCATTCTGAGGATCTTCACACAGTAATTTACAAAAGTCCTTACGTGGCAGCACCGTGTAATTCAAGCGGGCCAAGAAGCGGGGAGACTAGTCGGTGGGTTAGCTTAGGCGAGGGGGAATACGAGCATAACCCAATGATGAGAAGATAGCTGCTAAGAATACAACAAGAATACAACAGTGAAAGAACTGGTCTTGTATTTGGAATTTCGGCTGTATTATATCATTCTCCCACCAAAGCTGTAGCAAAAGTGCAGCAATGAAAACAAGATGGAAGACCTCATCGACATCTCAAACCACGTCTATGATCTCTCTCCCCTCGACATCATCCCCAGTCACCTCTACATCACCAATGTCTTTTTCTACGAGAACAAAAGCCCCGGCCCCGGGCCATTCATGCAATCCTCCCTCCTCAAGGAGTCATTGTATCGTGCCCTGCAGAACTTCCCAATTCTTCTCGGCCATGTGCGCCGTCACGGCCGCAATGCAATGCAGATTGTTGTTGACCGCGATAATCTAAACCTCCCGCTCTACCAAGAGCAGACACATGCGCACCTTCACTTCCGGCATCTGAAGGATAACGGGTTCCATCGCGATGTGTGGCCCAAAGACGCCAATGTCGTTGATCCGCGTGCGTCCCCCAATGGAGAATTGATCCAAGTGCATGTCCATCGGCTGGCCGAGGAGAGCGGCGTGGTGATGGTGGTGCGGATCGCCCATTGCGCGGTGGACGCCAAGGGGTTTGTGGACTTTGTGCAGTCCTGGGGATGGTTTACCAGGAACCACAGTCACCCCGAGGGTGAGAGCAGGCCTCGTCTGCTGACGGACCGTCGGGTGATGTACGAGTACCTTCCTGCGGATGTACGGCCAGCTCCTCCTCGCTCAATGTGGCATCCGGCATCATGGCTGCTAGGGCTATTGTCAACGCTACTGGTCCTCTTCCTCGGACTCTATAAACGCTTCCTCGGCGACAAAACCCCCCCGGACGAGATCGAGAGCCATCTCTTCTCCGTCCCCCGACACACCCTGGACCGTCTGCGCGATACAGCCACCCGCATCGACCCGTCCTCTCGCGTTTCTGATCATGATATCATCACCGCGCTCTTCACCCTCGCCTTCGCACACACCAAGCACCTGCTCACCCGCCGGACGCAGACCGTCAAAGCCATCGTCCCCTGCGACTTTCGCCACCGTATCGGTGTCCCGAGCAACTACACAGGCAGCTGCGCAATCGGCCTGTACGTCTCCATCCCGGGGTCTTTCCTCCAAACCCCGCTCACCGCGGAATCCGTCGCGCGAGCAGCCCTCCTGTCGCGCGCAGTTGTGGCTACAGCCAATAGAGCCACGGTTCAGACATTCATCCGGCGGGCGCTGCGGGCTATCACTTTTGTGGGTGACAAGGCAAACGTGCTATATGCGATGATGGTATCGCAGGCGTTTTCGAATCAGTCGAGACTGGGGTTTTACGAGGTGGATTTTGGGGCCGGGGGGCCGGTGATGGTTGCGCCGATGGCGTATTCGAATACGGTTGCGGTGATCTGTCCTGCGCCTGGGCCTGGAGGGGATGGTGTCGGTGTCCGGGTGTTTTTGACGTTGAGGCCGGGAGTGATGCGGGTGTTGTTGGCGAAAGGGTTTTTGGACGAATTCACGGAGATGGTATATTAGATTGCCGCTATGCTAAGATATTGCCGATACTATACATGCTCAGAAGAGATATGGTCCATTGCTATAAAAGCAAACGTCATCGCCGGTCCTAATGTAGCCCCTGCCCCTGGGTATGTCCGTCCCATCACGCTGGCAGTCGTGTTGCCGGCCGCATACAGCCCCTGCACTGGCGACCCATCCTCCCTAATCACCCGGGCATGCTCATCCGTAAGCAGACCCCCCTTGGTGCCCAGATCGCCCGGCACAAGCGGGATCGCGTAAAAGGGTGGCGTCCGCACAGCCCCCAGGTTCGGGTTTGGCCGCACAGTCGGGTCCCCAAAGTAATTGTCGAAGGCGCTCTCTCCGCGTGCAAAGTCGCGATCAACCCCGCAGTCGGCCATCTCGTTGAACCTCGCCAGCGTACCCTGCAACCCGTCCTCATCCACGCCGATCTGCCGCGCCAGCTCCGCGATTGTCTCGGCCCGGTGGATATACCCCGCCTCCAGCGCCTGCGCAGGGGGCTGCTGCCGCGGCATCAGCGAGCCCACCGCGTACCGCTTGCGATGGTTCCAGTCGAAGACGAACCACGCCGGGACGGCCTTCCGCGCATACTGGTGGTGGCCGGCATCCGTGTACGGCTCAGCCTCGTTCATGAATCGCTTGCCGGACGAGTCAACAATCACACCAAACGGCCGCGCTCGCTCCTGCAGCGCAAAGTAATACATCCCCCGGATGGGGTCGCGCAGCGTCGGGCCCCACCATGCCTCGTCCATCAGGGCCGTCGCTGCCCCGACCCGCACACCCGCGACAATGCCGTCCCCGTCGTCGCCCGGCGCGGCACTGGTCCACTCGGCGTTCGCAGGCGCCGGGCCATACCGCTCACGGAGCCCCTGGTTACGCGCGAACCCCCCAGCGCAGAGCAGCACCCCGCGACGAGCGCGGATGCTCCTCTCCCCATCTGGCGTGGCGACGCGCGCCCCGAGAATGGCCCCTTCAGGGGTAGTGATGAGCTGGCGCAGCGCCGTATCCGTGAGCACTGGATTCTGGCCAAGCTGCGTATGCAACCACCACAGCTGCGCAACCAGCGACTTGCCCATGGTCACGGGGATCTGTCTCCGCACACGGGAAAGATATATGCTGCGGAGGAGCACGCGCAGCACGGTTCCGACATCCCGCCACGACGACCCCATGCGCGTCGCGCTGCTGGCTTCATACGTGAATAGCGGGAGCGACCGGCCAGGCCGCTGTCGGATCGCCTCCGTCCATTTCTCGCCGAGCCCGAGTCGCCGCGTGTCGAACACGTCCGGCTCGATGGAGCGCCCGCCGGTCGGTAGTGCGCCGTGCGCGTGCGGATAGTAATCTGGACAGCCTGGGCTGAGGCGCCAGGCGAATCCCCGGTCCCGGAGGAAGGAGACCATGCGGGGGCCGTGGGTGAGATAGGCGCGTTTGCGGGCGGGAGATGAGGCGCGGCGGACGTCCGTGTCGTTGGGGGTGTCAGCGTCGATGACAGATGTCAGGTATGTCATTGCCTGCTCTGGGGTGTCGGTTATGCCGGCCTCCACGGCGAGCGGGTTATTAGGGATCCAGAGGCCGCCGCCGGAGTAGGCCGAGGTACCGCCTATTTGGGCGTCTTTCTCGATGACTAGGGATGAGAGCCCGTGGGAGTGGGCGCGTAGAGCGGCGGTGAGGCCTGCGGCGCCGCTGCCGACAATTAGGACGTCGGTTTCGTGGTCGAATCGATGGCAGTTTGTCTGTGCTGTACTTAAATGGCGGGCGTGAGGCAGGATGGGACGGTGGAAGTGGGTTGGTAGGGTTAGTCTGCGGAGTTGTCTTGCGGCCATTATGCTGTAGTATAATGCCAACAAACTATTTGATTATCATTTCTAAGACTCAATATAGGTCATTCACTAATCTTTTATATTGGATCTTTGATCAATGTTTTGAATCAATTTACTCGGCCAGTTGAGAAATACTCGTACGTGCAGCGGATGAATGAAAATTACGGTGGCTTGCATACCTAGTTGTACGGCATTTGAAATTAGATCAACCCAAATAATACCTCCGCTTTTGTTCTAATATTCGTTTACTTTCATAAACTATTTTTACACAGCTCTTGAATCCGTCCAGAAGTACGTACCTTTTTCTATTAGGAAAGATTGCCATTCATTGTGTTGAAAATGTCAGGATCATTCTTAAGGGCGTACACCCAAGAGATCATATCTTGTCTCATATTCAAGTTTTCAACTGGTGCTGCTTTCTTCGGTTGACTCTTCAGCAGCTTTTCCACCACTGCGGAATGCGGCCGGGACCACAATGCGTGCTTGTTAGAAACAACGGAGTCGGCTTACCAAGAGGAGACAGAGATCGTTTTGGAGGTAGACGAACACTGCTTGCCCTTTGGCTCTACAAACCACTAATTCTTGAATGGACCGGTCAAGTTGAAAGACTCCTCTTCGAGATGTTCGATATTGTAACCTTCAATCCTAGAATATATAATACAATAAACGAACAAAAAGCGATTCAATATGTCTGATGGTCCTAACTCGTCGACACATTGAGCCAAGGCCCGCTAATCCCAGCCCTATACCTCTGATGCTCCCTCTTCTATTCTCTCTGATGCCTCCGTGAGAAGATCCACAATCGACGCGGGGCTGCCGCACTCTTCAGCAAGATCCAGTAGGGCCTGGACACTAAGTCGATTGACGCACTGATAAACGCTGGGTGCAGTTAGAGTTCGAACAACTGCCTCGTGCTCATTAGCGATTGCCCAGTGCAAGGCCGTCCAGCCGTCATGGTCCTGTATCGAACTTGAGGCACCAGCAGCAAGTAGAGTTTCCACAAGGAGATCCTCCCCCTCAGCAGCGGCAATGTGGAGGGCAGTTTTGCCCACGTTATCCCCAGCAGAAATGTCAGCTCCTGCATCTAGTAGGAGTTGAACAACGCTAACTTCACCAGTAAAAATCGCCTTGTGCAATGATGTAGACCCACTTCCGTCTTTCCAAAGGAGGTCTATACCACGATCAATGAGTGAGCGCATTGTGCATTCGCAGCCCATTTCCACTAGGCTTAGAAATGCCTCGTTACAGCTCTCATCCAGAGTCGATCCTGCTTGAAGGAGCACTTCGGACACCTCCGGATGTCCCTCAGCAATCGCATAGGCAAGTGGCGAATAGTTCTCCCTGTCTCTGATATTGACCTTGCCGCCGGATTCCAGGAGAATCCGGGTTATCTCTTCCTCCCCATTTATTGCAGCAAAGTGTAGGGCTGCTTTCCCGCCGCGGTCGACAAGGTTCACCCCCACCCCCGAATCCACCAGTAACCGAACTATGTTCCCATGCCCTCTTTGAGCGGCGAAGTGCAGTGCCGATTCTCCATGCTCATTTTGAGTGTTCACGGAAGCGCCATGTTCTAACAATTTTTGAGCGATGCCAACATGGCCATCTTTAGCTGCCCAATGGAGTGGTGTCCATCCACTATTTGTCATAGCATTGACGTCAGCTCCGTGATTGAGCAAGGGCAGTACCGACTCTTCATGCTCTTTGGCAGCCCAGTGTAACGGGGTCTGATTCTTCAAATTTCTTGCATCGACAGGAGCTCCGGAGCCGAGAAGAAGAGAGACCACAGCCGCATTATCCGAACAAACAGCCAGATGTAATGGGGTGTCGCCGTGACTGTCAGAGATGGAAGGGTCACTTCCTGCTTCAAGAAGCAGCCGCACAGCCTCATAATGACCGGCAGCACAACTTTGAGAGAGAGGCGTTTTGTCTTCGCTGGTTAGAGCAGCCACACTTGCACCGGCCTCTATTAGGAGCTGCATTATCTCGACACGACCTAAAAGGCTTGCCCAGTGCAATGGTGTAGCCCTATCACGACCTTGCGCCATTGGGCTAACCCCCGCACCGAGGAGCTTTTGAACCACACCTAAGTGCCCTTCTTCAACAGCAAGGTGCAACGGGCTATCGCCTTCGTGGTCTGGCGTGGAGCCACTTGCCCCGGCATCCAGAAGCGTTTGGACGATCTCCACGTGGCCCTCCGAAGCTGCTAAATGAAGAGGTGTATGCCCGCACGAATCCACCGTATGCACACAGGCGCCAGCGTTGACCAGAAGCTTTGCGATGCGGGCGTACCCCTTGATGGCAGCGGCATGGAGCGTTGTCCGCTCTAATTTACCGATCTTTGTGTCCGAAATGTTGGCCCCCTTGTTTATCAGCACCTCGACCACATTATCACGGCCGGTAATGATGGAAAGGTCCAGGGGTGTAAGCCCATTATTATGGCGGGCGTTTATATCCGCACCAACAGCAAGAAGCATCCTGACGACAGCTGCATGGCCAAAACAACATGCATGATGTAAGGCTGTGCTTCCGTCATGATCGACAGCACATGGGTCCGCCCCTCCATCAAGAAAATGGCGAACAAGATTGACATGACCACAGACAGCTGCAGCAAACAGAATGGTTCGTCCCCTTTCTAGCGCTCGAGCACTCCGCGATAAGACTACTAATGACGCAAAGCCCTCCGTGGCCTGTGCCAGAGCTACAAGGTCTGGTGGATCCAGGTATTCCGCCAACTCCAGCAGGACCTCAGGAGGAAGTGGTAGGCCATACCAGGAACTCATCTGGGCCATTGAGTGTCGTAGCTGGCGTGAAAACTTTGTAATAAATCTTGCCTGGAGTATGACAACCGGTTGGAACTGGGCCAAGCCCAGCTCCTTGGGGTGGCCAGTTCTGCCCTCTTAGTCAGCATTCAGGCTATTTATGCCACATTGGGGATGGAGTCTCGTACCCCCTAATCCCACACTTCCTCTACCCCGTATTCTTCCTCAGAACCAGCTGGCCACGTGCCAGTAGTATCTGATAGACCTCTCTAAATTGTTGACGCGTACTGCGCATACTGAAGCCCTGAAATGACAAAGAAACGAAAGTGAATGAAAAGTAATGCAGAGTTGGGTGAAACATAAAAGATGAAATAACGCACATGTTTGTTAGGATTAGCCAATCATATGCGTGCGAGCTAGGATAACATTGCGGCGTAACGTATGATTGGATAAGAATGCATGCACAATACATCCGTGAAGCCAAGGTGAATAAGACGGATGGGGCTCTCAGCAGAAGGTATTGCGAGTATCCGTCTGGTCGAGAAATCAACAGCCAAGAGTTCAATACGAGAAACTCTACTGTCTGCTCGTGTTCAGAGATGACGCTACGCGCATCATGTCCACCAAAAATAATCATAATACCTCATAGTTGCGGAAGTTCACAGTCAAATCTCCAGGTCAATCTCAATAAGTCACAAATCATGCGATTAATGTACTGGACCATTAATGAGAACCATAATAACACGGTTATATAAATCTCCACATACTCTCTTGTCTCGGTCACCTGACACTTTCCAAACCCCATACGAATTACTTTCATCGCACACTGGGGACCATTGAAATTTGGCCACTGACGACTCTTCGCTTCATTAGATCCCCTCGAGCTGTTTTTCAAGAATGAAAAGCGGATTGTGCGTCATCGTTGAGAGCGACAGGGTTCAACATAGATGATCGGGTCACGTGACATAAGAGTAAATTCGATTAGGATCAACGTGCCAGGCGGAAGAAGTACGGTGGGTATCTTCCTTAACAACGTGCTAAGCATCGCAATCATGTCCGAACCAGCATGCTCAGTAGGCACCTAAGCTTCTCAGATCGAGTTTTTGGCTATGAACCTATGCCTCGGCTATAGATCGAGCTTGCCTTAGTCGATGTAGCTCATAAATCTCCTCTCCCAGACCTGGATCGGGGCCGTCAACGATCAGACCCGGCGCAACCTGATTAATCGGGAGCGGAGCGACTGGTCCAGCTTTCACACCCAACTGCGTCTTCCACTGTACAAGCTGAGCAGACGAACTAGCATAGACGATCCGCCCCAAACCCGCATACGCGTGGGCACTTGTGCACATTGGACAGTGCTCGCCAGAAGTGTAGACAGTGGCAGCGGCGCGGTCGGCGGGTGTCATGTGCTTTTGGGCCCAAACAGCCAGCGTAAACTCCGGATGCAGCGTGATATCTGCTTCGGTCGTGTTTCGGTTGCGGTCTTCTCTGAGGATCTTGCCTGTGGCATCCACAAGCACTGACCCAAACGGGTCATCGCCGGCATCAACCGCTTCGCGGGCTAACTCCACACACCGACGCAAGTAGCCAATATCTGTGCTAGACAGCATTCTGCTCTACTATTAAGGAAGTTGAAGGTATTTATCGCTTGAAAGGGGCAGAAATCGGGCAGGTCGGATGAACAGCAGTTCCTGGGGCGTGAAGCACAAGTCTGCGAGATTTGATTGTTTACAATAGGAGTTGGACACAAGGTGCTTGAGAGATTAAGAGGTGGGAAGCGAAAGCGGAAGCGGGAAAAGTGATCGTATCATTCTGACTCATAGTAGCTAGGGGCTCGTATGCCGCTATAAGCGAGCAGGCGAGAACGCTACGATAGGCCAGCGAGGTAGATGGAGACGGCACGGGAGGTCAAACTATACGTCACACCTGTGTGAGAGAGAACACTGACCTCTACCTGAGAAAATGATTATTTACGACGTGTCCAAAAACAATATAGAATGGTTGGGGGTTACAAGTCCAAAAACAACTCGTATGTGACATGCTTGTGCTGACTCTGCTGAGGTTCCTGTTCGGGGCACTGTCAGATGGAAAAACAGCCGGATGTCTTGCTTACCGAGAATATATTGCAGGCTTGCGAAAACGGCCTCTACAGGTCGCATAGTAATTTTCTTCTTTTCTTTCCCTTCTTTTTGTTTTGTTTCAATTTTATATATATATAAATTTTTGGGAGACTTTGGAGCTATCTTTGGACGTACTACTTTAAACGCAGAAGAAATGTATGCCGAGTTCCTTAAAGAGCAAGGAGTCAGAGCATGGGAAACAGGCCGATCCTTGTAAGTTAAGAAAATTGGGGGCCATGGACATACTGTCCTCCCTCTAGTCAAGATGTGATGGGATTCGCTGTCCAACTAAAGCTCAACTATGAGACTGATTGTTCTGGGTACCAAGGATTTTAGACTTCAGGACAATCGATATTTCAAGATTCCCGAACTCAGTAGGAATTCCAATATTTTAGCTACATACGTACGGTTTATAGACATACCAGTAAACACGAATAGCCTTCGTCAACGCCAAGACGGGACATCGCAGATTGGTATACCACAGCTTTACTCGTCTACTGGAACCCCGAGGAAGGTTTTCTACAGAATCTGCTTCGGATCTTTGGTCATTAGCTAGGAGCAAATATGCCCGTGCACCTAGATCTGGTTCAACCAGAGGAGAAGCACGGCTCCCAACATCAGAACTTACCACGGACCGTATAATGGCGCAGAACACAAGTAAGACTGATAGGACGGAGGCGCATATTGGCCAGGGTGTGCGCTATTAGTCTATTGATCGGACGGGAGGTGGTCCATGCGATTCCCATATCAATTCGAAGTTCCGTAGAGTATATACTCGGCAGATCTTTTCATATAGAGGATGGAGGGGAACGGTGACAAAACTCATCGCACCTTGGGACAACGGGCTCCATAGTAGTAGTGGTATGTCTGTAGTAGGCCGTGCTGCTGCATAGTAGCGGAGTCGGGGCTTCGGCGAGAGCAGATGTGTCTGTAAAAAGACAGTGAGGAAGGACGGGCCCTACAACTGGTCCAAAGGCGTGTTACGAATTACAGTTTCGCGAACGCCACGTAATATTCCCTGCGCAGAACCGAACGAATCAGCCCACCAGATAAGTGATGAAGAAGAAGGGAAAAGATATCCTAGAGCTATGCTGAGTAAGTTGAGAGAAAACACGCACAGCAGGCGATAAGTGAGCCAAGGTATATGTATAACTATCTTGCATTGTGTTACGCAGATTAAACCTAATAATTAAAATTATTGTAGTGCTACAGGTAAACATAGCAGAAAGGCCCATCAATCGTACTCATCAGATCCTGCATGGCAACCGACCCCCCATTGGCATACCCGAGATCAATCATCGTGCTGAGCGTCGTATTAGGCGACGCCGGAAGGTTCATGAATGTGCCCGTCCCCGAGATAGCATACAGCCTGTTCTTCAGATCCAGGGTCTGCCAGATCCACCACACCCGGTCGATCATTCCGTGGTGCAGCCAGAAGGCCGGATCCCCAGGGCTGACGAACACGTCACGGCCGGGGTCGCCGCCCATGGAGTAGTGGCCGCCGCCGTGGACGCCGATGGAGCCGCTGCCGGGGACGCCCTGCATGACCATCTGGAAGTCCCAGATATTCTTGTTCTCGAGGATGAGTTTCACGACGGCGGGGGCGTTGGCGTAGCGCTGGAGAATCGCGGTGGTGAGATCGCGCTTCAGGCACCGCGGGTTGTAGTCAAGGGGGTTGGGTTGGGCGGTCATTCCCCCGCCGGGAAGGTTCAGCGCCGCGGGGCCCAGGTTGACGGTGTAGTTGACAAAGGGCCCACTGGTGACGCAGCCGCCGCCTGTGCCGGCGGGGAGGTAGACGATCGGGTAGTTGCCCATCGTCAGGGCGATGTCCCCCTTGTCGGCGACGTACGCGCCGTTGCCCGACATGGAGGTGTCGCTACCGTCGAAGACCGGGGAGGTTTCCAAGGAGTTGGAGTCCGCAGGCCAGTTCCAGTATCTGTCGTCATGGTCAGACGGGGCTTCACGCTGCACTGGCAGGGAGTAATGCTTACGGGTAGTCACCGGTGTATCCACACTCATCGCGCAGGGCTTGCTCGAACTGGTAGATGAAGTAGCGGTGCCAGGCCAGGAAAGTTCCCTTTTAAGGTTAGTCGGCACAGTCGAGCTCGCCGGGATCTTGCAGACATACAGTGTAGTGGATGTTCAAGGTCTGCTGGATATGCGTCACGACAAAGTCATCATAGCGAGTCTTTGCGCCGGCGGCGACGCTGGACGGGGTACGCGCAGGCAGCTGCTGCAGACACCGAACCGACTTGATGTATGCCTTCTTCTGCGAGGACGAAAAGAATCTCCAGTCACGCCGGATGCGCAGGTTGCTGAGCGAGCAGCTCCCACGCTTTGTGGCTTCGTTGTTCGATACGTTGTCGGTGGTGACGTTGTACGCGAAGTCGGCCAGCTGGTCCAACTGGGAAGCGGCCGTATCCGGGGAGCTGGCGGCCGTACTGGGGAGCGGGGTGGGGGCTGCCGAGGAGGGTGCAGTAGCGTCCTGGGGGGAGGGCATAGCCAGGGCCCCTGTCAGGAGGAGCGCAAGGCTCAGAGTGCGGATGGCAACCATGGTGACTTGACTGGAGAGGTATGATTCTTCAAAAACGAGGGCAAGACGGCCAATTTGTAGGATTTCGAGTCCATTACCCCTTCATATCTAGTGCTGCAGTAGTTCTCCATGGATTCGCCGATATGGTTAGGGCTACGGAGAATTACTAGCCGCAGGCACGGAAAGTTCGGCAACTCGACTCATGCCCTAATTGAATATTCTGACTCGGCCGTTTGTTCACTTAAGTGCATACCATCCAGTCTAGCGTGCATTAGTCCGCACGAGCCTCGACTCTCAATACGGGTGCCCAGACAACTTAGCGAAATGAGGGCTTCGTCCACGAAGCCGGTCAATAGACTAAGGTAGTTAGTTCTGTACTAGGCCCGGTGAGGAAGGATCCTTGCTTCTGGCCGATATATTAGTGGCGCTCGCTAGACCGTGGCTGGAAGGTGGATAGTGTACCTCGTGGGATTGGCCGTTGGCCATAATATTAGCCATCCAATCTCCAGTCAGCCCCCACTGTCGGGATGGTCCGCAACTCACTCGATCAAGCGTCCGATACCTGACCTCGGTAGATGAACCACGCCGTCCCCCGATCATCATGGCCCTGACGGTGGTGTTTTGCTTGTAGGTGTTCCTAATTTTGGGTCATGAATTGGGCATACGATAGAAGCTATAGCCTAAAACAATACTTGTACCAAAATCTAGGAGACAATTGACTCTCGGGGCTTGTTCCGTCTATGGTAGTACTACGTCTCCTTTATTGGTACCTCGGAGGAACATAATTCTTTGTTCCATTCTTCCGGACTCTGCCCTAGTCGTGGACAATATTATTACATATTACATTTTCTTCGACTTCGGTCCAGACCTACTACCGTAGAGTGGGGTGTACAACGGTACAAGACGAGACAGGACAATACCCGACCTACCCGACAAACCCTAACCTTTGAGTTGGGGGCCAAGAAGCGTCTTCAAGCACGAACCATGGACATTGACCCAGGACAGGGTCTTTCGATCTGACTATCCACTGATCTGACGATGATCAGGCACCGACTGTTGTGATCGTCAGAGGCATATTATTATCTCTCTAAACGATCAACCAGATTTCTATCAGTGTTTCGGTCTATCAACGCCAGTAGCGCTTTCTTCCACGCCCTAGATGGACTGGAGACTTGGAAAACAGCCAATTAATTTCAATCAAATCTTGGCATTACTGATGGAACAATTACCTTCGAAATCCTCCCGCCTAAAGAAAGACCTCCCCTATTGAACTTACCGAATAAGCCTGATCCTTCGCATCACCTGTCGTTTCTATTGGATCTGGAGACTCCTCCCTCTTCCCCGAAATTATGTCTGTCTAGCTCGAGTCAGCTAGTGTCAATTCTGAATACGACTATTACCTAAGATAAGACCTTTATGGCTTAGGACAGAGAAACCATCAGGAACTGCCGAGACATGTGAATGGTATGGAGGGCTGGATGTCTTACATGTGCCTCAATGCACCAACCTCGTGGCACCAACCTCGTGGCCCTGTCGTCGTGCATAATTCTGGAATCAGACTCGTAATATCGCGCACTCGGCAATACTGCGTGAAGTTCATCTATTTAATTCGGACTTATGCAGCCACAAATCTTGTTCTTTCCTAGACTGCTTTGTTTTTGCTCTCTGTGACTTATTGCTAGCTGTAGAGAGCGCTCAAGCCCCTTCTCAACTCGGAAGTTTATTGTAAGCAGGATTTTTCCATGGTCAACCAGGAAAGGTAGCAGACACGACTATGGCACTGATTAGGACAGTCCCACCACAGATATGTAAATTTAGCCTAACGATTAGTTGACTCGGCTAGAACCAAGTCCCGGTTCGGTTCCTGGCAAGCCTCGGAATTGGCCGTGCTCTGCTGTATCGGACCCCTCTGGCGATCTGCTCCACCTTGTATTTCTATGTCTTCAATTCCAGAGCACAGATTTCACGAAGGCCAAGTCGACGTCGAGACGACGCACCATGGCCGATCATGTAGCTGGGGCAGGCTTGCCCGACGATAATCGAGGGCCTGCGATCCTCGCCGCGACGTCCACGGTGACGATATGCGCTTTGCTGACGGTGCTGGCGCGTATGTACGTGCGAGTATTCATCATCCGCAATGTCGGCGCTGATGTGCGTCCCTCTGCCGTTTCAAGTTGCTTCAAACTGACTTGATAGGACTATACGATGGTCTTGACCATGGTGTTGGTAGGTTCTATCGGATATCGACTCGCAACCGAGCTAATAGCTGCAGTCGATTGCAGGATGGGCCATCATCATCCCCGAAGTCATCTACGGTGCCGGGCGACATACAGCCTATGTGATGGACACGGCGATCAAGGCGAACCAGCTCAATTTCGCGACGCAGGGCATATACATGTGGGCGATCGGGTTGGTCAAGGTGTCCATCGGGCTGTTTCTGCTGCGGTTTGCGCCGAGGAAGGGGTATAAGGTTTTCATCTGGGTGATTATCGGTTTGTCTATCTTGCACATCTGAAGTGCGCCGCTGACTGCTCCAGTGATGATGTCGCTGTATACGACTATTTGCTTCTTTGTAAGTATCTCTGCCCTGTTTTATGCTCCGTCTAATGGCCTAGACCCTCATCTTCCAATGCCAAAATATCCGGTCGATATGGAATCCGAACATCAAGTCGAAATGCTTCAAGCCGACGCAGCTATTAGAACTGAGCTACACAAACACAGGTATATCCAACAGACATAGATACTGCTATCGTGCTGACATCCACAGCTTTTAATATCCTGACGGACCTGATCTTCGCCATAATGCCTGCTGTCATGCTCCGGTAGGTCTCTTCCTATCATCTTGAGCCAACTAACGAGAACAGCCATCTCCAAGTCAACCGCCGGGTCAAGGCATCACTAGTCTGCATCCTGGGACTGGGAGTATTGTAAGCGATCCACAGTCTCCTGAAACGCGCATACTAACAGCCCAGTGCCTGCGCCGCGGCGTTCGTCAAACTCTCCATCCTCCCCAACTACGGTCGCACCGGCGACTTTCTCTGGGACTACACCGATCTCACCATCTGGGTTGTGTACGTCTGCATTCATCTTTACCTTCTCCTCTAGCACACATCTAACAGATTCCGACAGCGTCGAATGCAACGTAGGCATCATCGCCGGCAGCCTTCCCACCCTCAAACCCCTCTTCAAGAAAGCTCTCGGCAGCTACGGCTCGAAACCCTCCTACTCCCACTCAAGAAACTACTCCCGTGGCACGCGGTACAAATTGCGCTCCCTGTCGCGGCAGAACCAGTCCAAACCGCAGACGCTTCCCAGCGGGAACTTCGACGGCGATACCCAGACGCAGAGAAAGGGGCCGCTGACATACCAGTCTGCGTATGAGACTACCACGACGGCGACATACCCTGGTCGTGAGGGAAGCAACTCGAGTGAGGAGCATATCCTTTCGTCTGGGGGCGAGGGGATTGTCTGTGTGACTGAGGTTCTGGTGTCGCATTCGCAGGAGTCAGCGGGAAGACAGAAATAGTGTGGTTTGGTGTATGTGTGGATAGCAGCCGTTCACTTCGGCAGGTTTCTTTTGTGATTGCAGGGGTATACATCGGAGCAATAGGATAAGTTTGTATTATACATTTTCTCACGCATTTCTGTAGTATACAGGACAACTAACATGCTGGATGACTTGAAAATAAGAGAATTGGGCAACTAGCCAAGCGTGTTAAGATATGTTTGTGTCGTTGAATGTTTTTGCTCTCATATATTGTGTCGTAGAGCAAGGTCCGCTAAATATATATGTGAGAGCGACATGTGTCTCACTGCAAAATGCTATGATCTCACATGATCGCTAAATCAGAATAAAGTCCTCAAATATGGAATACCTTAGATAATATTATCAGCCACATAAAGGTTGTATCTAACATAGACCAAAATACCTTTACCGAAGCCCTTACATTACTACAAGCAAAGAAATGGGTAGACAAAGACTCCCATCTGAATGACGAGGGTAACCATCGTGAGGGCCTTATACAGCCATGCAACCTTTATTATCTCTATAGGAATAACTGATAACTATGACCTATTATCCTACCTTCGCAAGAAATACAATCTTCAAGTTGCCTCGGCCCATAACCCTCCATAATTTGCTGCCCGAACATAAAAGCCGTGCCTGCATAGCATGATATGCAGACAGCGGATGCATTCCACTACATTCTCTCTCCAAGTACTGGAATACTGGATGTGGAAGAAACAACCGGTATATAGCAGACATGATGATGCCGAAGTGAGGGGTCGTATGCGGGAACATTCCGCACTGGCTCAAGTATTTTCCCATAAATCACAGTAGATTGGAGCATCGAGACAGTACAATACGTTTACGTTTACGTCTACATCTACAGCAACATGGACGCAAAAATCTACGAAATCCCCACCCACTGCAAAGCCGGGGTCGTCGTCAATGAAGGCCCCGACTTCCAAGTCAAGGTGGAAATGGTCCCGGTGCCAGAACCAGGTGTGTCTCTCCGTTAAATAGAAGGCAAGAAGCTGACCCGCAGGCCCCGATGACATCCTCATCCGCCTCAACGTTACCGGCCTCTGCTCATCCGACATCCACATGATGAAAAACGACCTCGGTACCCCGCCCATGTCATTCTTCGGCGTCCGGTCGCCCGGCCACGAAGGCGCAGGTATCGTCGTCAAGACGGGCGCCAACGTCCGCAACTTCAAGGTCGGCGATCGCGCAGGTATCAAGCCGCTGACGGATACATGCGGATCGTGCGAGTTGTGCTGGGGCGACAAGGAGACGTACTGCCGGACGGCCGTGCATACAGGATTGATGACCGCAGGCACATACCAGCAATACCTCGTTTCACCCGCCCGCTATGCCTCGCCCATCCCCGACGGCGTCCCCGACGAGATCGCCGCCCCAATCATGTGTAGCGCCTCGACCATCTACCGGTCCCTGGTGGAGTCGGGGCTGCGACCGGGCCACTGGGCTGTTTTCCCTGGCGGGGGCGGCGGCGTGGGGATCCAGGGTGTGCAGCTCGCGAAGGCGATGGGCATGCGGCCGATCGTCGTGGACACGGGGCCAGCGAAGCGCGCGCTGGCGTTGGAGATGGGCGCGGAGGCCTTTGTCGATTTCGCCGAGACGGATGACACCACTGCTGAGGTGGTGGCTGCCGCAGATGGGATCGGCGCGCACGGGGTGTTCGTCACGGCGCCGGCGGCTTATCGGACAGCGCTGTCGTTTGTGGGAGACCGGGTCGGTGCAGTTGTCATGTGCATCGGCCTGGCGCCGGCCAAGACGGTGGTTGTTGGCGATGATCCCAACCGGTTCATTTTCAAGAACCTGACGATCAAAGGGACGCTGGTGGGTAGTCGCAAGGATACGGCGGCGGCGCTGGACTTTGCGCGACGAGGAATGCTGAGGCAGATTTGTGAGGTGTATCCCATCGATCAATTACCGGAGGCTGTCGAAAAACTGCGAAGGGGAGAGGTTGCGGGCAGGATTGTGGTCGACTTTAACAAGCGATAAATCTTGAAGGTCGGCAGATTGAGGGATGGGATGTGCCGATCATGTGACCCGCTTCTGGACGCGCATTGTCCTACTTCAGCGAGGACCGCATTAATGCAAGGTTGAATGCATGGCTATCAGCAGTTTCATTTGAGTATATCTCATCAAAGTTAAGCTCAAACCTGCCTTTAAAGTGTGGTCGAGACCGCCATGAACAAAAATTCAAGAGTGCAAAAGGATACGTTGGACCACAGGCGGTTCAGATCGTCCAATCTAAACAAGACCCTCCAACTCACGGAATTGGTCTACGCTGAACAGAAGACGTCTACTTGTTGCGATCCGTGCACTGCAGCCTACCACGGCAGAACGGGAAGATTTTCCGTGCCACATAAACGCAAGCAGGCTTTTGGGGTGTAAGCCAAACGGCACCCAAAGCCATGGTATACTCAGCAAACACCAAGTGCACATCCGTCCAAGGCTCCAGGAACTGATCGATATAGATCTTGCGCCACTCTCCTTGTATGAGGTGGTATAGAGGGCTTTACAATATTCCCAGTAGTCCGGGTACCATCCTGATTGCTGCCAGTCCACAATAACAACTCGACTCGGATTGACAGAGGAAACAATAATATTGCGCGGATTCAGATCCGCATGGGTAAATTTAATCGCCCCAGTATCCGGCAGTAAACACCGATTGGGATCATCATATCTGCGCGTGAAGCGTAGTTGGTGTAACAAAGCAAACCAGTCGTTGAAAGCCTTTATGCTTGGGAAAGGGCCATCTCTCGGCTGGTCCTCAAACACACAGTCTAATAAATGTTGCCGGTTGACTGAACCTAGATAAGAGGTGAGTAAGGGGTAACAGTTCTCGAAAAGTTCATCTAGCTGTCAGTCCTACCGATAAACCGATCGGAAGGATCTTGCGCAAGCCTGCGCAGATTATTTATGATCCGAGATAGCTCCTCCACAATTGCCCTCTTTCCCAAGTTGCTAAGATCGCCCCAACACTCTGCAAGAGTTGGGCATCGGATTAGCTCCATGTATATGAAAACATAGATTTTTTCATCAACCCGCCACCCAGAGAGCTCAGGCACCGGCGCTTCATCACCGAAAACCTTCTTAATCATCCAAAGGTTCACTGCCTCTGTAGTTGTAACATAACGGCCAAATTTGACGATCAGATTAAGATTTTCAAATCTGATGGGTGCCGGTTCAGGACGTCTATCAATATCCTTGGATAAAGCTCTCACCGGCCTGGGCTGGTGGTGAAAAACGATGTGTTAGTGAAGTCTACCTCCTTTTTCGTGGCATTGGGCAACTCTAGGGATATAGACTTCTCGCCGAGTCTATATAGAACCATGTCGTGAGAGGAGTTTTGACAATGGGACAGCAGTCAAGTGATATGAGGGTAGGTCGATAAAGCCGTCAGGGCAAATACTTCCAGCTATATGCAAAAGCGGGTGACATGAAAACGCTGATTCTAAAAGTAGTGTCAGATCAGGAAGATTTCAAGGATATGTCGGGGTATTGTGGCCTGGACTGGCCCTCCTGTCATCTTGCGCCAGTGATCAGGTGACAACTCAATTGCTGTTTATGTAAACAAAGAATGGAGCTTGGAATTGTTCACGTGACTCTATCAGAATAGCATGATGGGGGTGGGTCAGTTAATGAGTTTCCACACCCCAATATTCTGTTGGATATCTGCTGCACCATCATTTTTACTTAGTACTAGCTAGAAATGGAAGACTTGGCACCTTTTAGATCAGTGGTTCGAGTGCACTCGACATATTCCGCCCACGCAGCGATATTTTCCTGTCAACCCCTATCATTTCCCAGCCCACGAAACAGCAACACCGATTTTGGACAAATTGATGTGAGTAGGAGGTGCAGAGATGACTTAGGTCCCTATTTCGTGGAATGAATGGTTTAAAGATGGGCTTTACGGATGTTACTAGATTAGAAAGGCCCGTACGTGAGTATGTATAAAAATAGTTCTAAACTTCCTATTGGGATGGATACTGCTACGCATTGTTTGATCATTCTATATCGAATATTCTAGTTTTTGCAGAGAGGAAGTAAGTTGGTACATCCTGCTGTCTGCATATATTGGGTATAGCCTGTGATTACGTTTTATTTCAACGGTCCTTGTGGGTCGTCTTGTCTCTCCCGTCCTCTCATGTACAAGTTCAGGTCAGCGTTTGGTGTTGGATGACTCTACTCAGTTATTAGAGAGGAGTGGCATGCGAAGGCTGTTCAGGTCCTTCTTTGCAAGGAGCCCCCGTTAACGCAAGGATGAATGCTAGTCCATGTGCACATGACTATATTGCAGTTTCACGTAGAGTATACCTCACCAAAGTAATTAAAGTGAAGGTTAAACCTTGGTATGTGAGCAAGGCAGTGTGTCACTATTTTCACTCTCCACTCAGACTTTGATACAAACTCCTAGGGAGCCTCTAGCTCAGCCATGACGGCATCCCTTTTTTTCAAAGACGCAGGGAGCCTTGTTCCAAGTATTGACGTTCTCCAATCCCTGTCCTCAGCAAGGGCAATGATGGTATGGCAATCATAGACAGTGTCTACTCCTTCCGGAGTCATTGTCAGGCACATCTTGGCTCCTAGCTTTCTGGTAGGGACTGTCCACCTCCACCGCCATTGACTTCAAATTGTGAGCATAGCAGGGTTTGGACTCTTCGATTCAGACGGAGCCATCTGCATTGTGTTTTCCCAAGGCGGCTTCCCCTAGAAATTCCGGACAGAGACGACCAACTTGAAGACGAAGATGCTGCAGGCGAGGAAGGATCTGTCCCGAAGTCTTATAGAAATCGTCTGGACTACAATTGTTGTGCTCTTCGGGCCCACAGATGGCATCGCGGGGTCCAGCCTGGATATCGGTAATACCCTGTTCAGTCTCTGCAATAAATAGAACCTCAATAACTTTAATCCTTTTGGTCATACATAGCTGTATGAGAGTCACAGTAGCAAAATCACCGTCGACTGCAATTGCACGTAGCGCTTGTGAGGACCCAATAGTTGTCCGTACTAGTGAGCCGAACTTACAGGAAATATCAGTTATCATAAAATTACTATATAATCTGACAGATTAATTACTATTGATTTCCTAGAGATCTGCCTTGTGTGTGATCCAGCCTTGGTGAAATATTCGCATAATCCACTCTTGATGGTCCTTTAAAAGAATACATATATGCCCAGTCTAAGCACCACGCCTGTGATGGCAAGAATTTGAACCCAATGTGGAGGGACTAAATTCTGAACAAGCGACCCTGGCCTACCACTGCTCTTCCCCGGCTCATTCGCCTTCGCGCGGGGGAGTAGATGGCGACGTACGCCCGCCAGCACAACCTCGAGGTAGATTTCCGGCTGGAACTCGTCTGGGAGCTGGATTGAGGGTCGAAAGTTGAACGTGCGATGGGTGAAGTAATGAAAATCATGATTAAGGCGTGACAAACCGTAACGAAGTGACTTGAGCTCGTACAATTGTTTCGATTTTCCCTGAACAGCAGACAGTGCTGTCGCCATCCACAACGGGACACTCTGATGTATAAAGTCATATATGCGGAATCGGATCCCATGTGGACCCAGATAATGAACGTGCGGTTGGCGAAACGATACGGCTTTAAACCGTGCAAAGTGGGATGTCATTTGAGAGCGGATGAGTTGGATGGGCAGTCCATTCAGTAGGGATGCTGTCGCGTATAGGATCCGGACTCCTTCGTCTGAGGTGGACGGTAAACCGTCTAAAGATAGTGCTGCACCTATGAGTCGTGTGGCAACCTCATCGACGGGGATAATGTCCAGAATCGTTTGAGGAGCGGCATTTATGACGCGGAGAAGTCCGTTTCCGTAGGCGGCAAGGAAACCCGCAAAGGCGCTCAGACTATCAATCCAGCCTGGGAATGGGTGATGCCAGCTGGCGGAGATAATGCTAGGTCGCACAATTGTCAACGGGACGCGGCCCTTGCGTGCAACCAAAAGGTGCTCTGCGACGGATTTGGACAAGGTGTAACTGTTGGCAAGCCTCGACTGATGCAGAACCTCTTTTGTTGACAGCCTTCCACTCAACATACCCTGATAGAGTTCCCAAGCAGTTCCCGGCAGCGGTGCCAGCGTCTCGTAAATGGGGCCAAAACAGTGAGGAATCACGTATGCCGTTGACGTGTTGACGAAATGTTTGATATGAGGGCACTTTTGCGCAAACTGCAGAAGGCTTAACACAGTAGAAATGTTTGCCTCGGCAGCTTCAGCCAGGGACAGATGGAACTTCACACAGCCTGCGCAGTGGATGATATGGGTGATTTCCGAGCAAAGCCGTTTGTATGTGACTGGGTCAAAGCCAAGGTTCACCGCAGTTAAGTCGCCCGTGACTACCTCTACGATATCGGTCCACGATGATGGTAGAAGCGAGAAGCATGGTGATGGGGAAACAGTGTCTCGGAATCGAGTCTGGCTATCTGTTCCTTTTTTCTCTCGAATTAGGATAATGATCTTCCGAACCCTCAAGGCCTGATGCTGACGGACGAGATGTTCCAATACGACCTTTCCTAGAAACCCAGTCGCTCCGGTCACCAGGATACAGTTTTCAGACAGAGGCATCATGTTCGGGGGTAAGACTAATCCTTCAACTGTATATGCCTATCGAAATATTTTACCGAGGGCAGCAGTCCTTAGAGAAATACCGCTTGTCTCGGCTACACCGCCATTTAAGAGGTCAGATACCACGCACGACGAACGATCTACATCGTATAACACCGGTATAGTTGGGGATAGATATGCAAGCATAATGCAATACTGACCATCTCACAAGCGGGGTATCCTGCAGGCCACATGGGCTCAAGGGTGCTACAAATTCGGGCGACAAGGTCTAAATCAGGATGGAACTGGACGACCTATCGCCGGGTGGAGGCACTCTTTTTCAACCCAATTTTTGGCGATTGTTATAAAATTGCTTGGAACCTTATTTTTTAAGACATTTGGTATGCACCAACCCCATTCATAACACTAGTACCAAAAGCTAAATATATGGAAAGATATGTTGTGCAGATGGATCGTAAGTGGGCGCTGGGCCCATAGACGATAAAAGACACTGTCACTACCATAGCATAGATACAAAAGACAACCCCATTTTTGATAGATTCCAAGCGCTGGTCATTGCCGCACGGAGCTTCGGTCCGACAAGATCATCCCCACAAAGAGCAGAGAGCATAAGAAATGCAAACGAGGCACAAGACAGAATGGAGAAGATAGAGGTAACATATTGTCGGGCATTGTACACAAGGGCTTTTCGGAACTTCTGCTGCATGAGCTTCATTTCATTCTCATGCGGCATAGGGACAGAAGGGATCGGTTCGTCGAGAAATTCACATAGAGGTTGCCATCCTTCCTTGACATGGTAAATCAAGAGACTTTCCGGAGGCACCAACCCCTCGATCTTCTTGCAATGCTCGTGAAATACTCGGCGACCATTTTGCTCAAGACTTCCCTCGAACAGTTCATTCCAGGCTTTTGCAAATACCGGCCGCACAAGACGTGTCCTCGAGCGCAGGATCCTATCTAGCCAGTTGAAAATGTGGAAAGCTGGGGATGTTATCAGGGCGTCGATAGTACTCTTTGCAGATCTATTGGGAGATTGCACTTATCATCAGGCAACAGTCCAAATGATGAGACCACGGTAAATAGTATTTATACATACCTGTGCCAGTCTTCAACATCGCGGACAGTCAGAATCACCTTTGCTTCTGGATAGGCTTGAATCAGTTCTTCTGCAAACAGTATTGCAGGGATATCCGTTACTGCCTGTACTGCAAGTCATTAAATGGTCCCATGAGCGAAAGCACTGGCCCCTACCTGGCAGTGTCCAAGGAGCTGGTCGAATTCCTTACGACCCCATGGCTTTCCTTTGCCGTCAAATTTTGCACGCAGTGCCTCGAGCCACAGTTCACAGTCTTGTGGGTTGACAAAAATAGCATCATTTGCATGATAGGCATGGGAATACCCAAGAGTCTTCAACGCCTTGACCAAGGCTAATCCCCGTTTACCGTAGTAATTGCTTGTTAGGGGGCGCGTTTTCCAGAAAGGATATTTGGTGGGTATTTCATACATAGTGTGCCAGTGCGACAAAGTCCTAGAGCTAGCACTCTCATGGGTACCTCTCGCGAACAATAGCGACGATCGATGTCCGTCGTCACCACATCTCCATCTGCAAACCGGAAAACTTGAGAGGGCATAGCGAAAGATCGTAAAATCAAAATATGAAAAAGATCTGCAGGGTAAATGATATGCCGAATCCCACTCGCAAGCTCTCTCGCCCCTGTTAACGGAAGGGAAAGGTGTTGGGAGGAGGAATTATATAAATGTAATAGTAGCAGAGAGCTTGGACAGCTTAAGACGCTATCTAGGAAGTTTGGGCCAGCGTGTCGGGTCAGTATTACTTGCGTACTTACTGTCTGATTTCGAACAACGCTGGTAATATTGAGGCTGGTTGGTGCCCAAAGAGTGTGTGGAACCTCCTCTATTCTTGTGATTATCAGACACCTTTACAACGATAGTGCATATGCATGTAACTTTTAAATAGAAGAATTCACACAAGAAGCCTTGCCAAGTTACACCACGTCCCATCTAGGTCTCTGTGTTTGGAGATTATCAGAAGGAGCGGTGTGTATGGAGCCACAGGTACTAGGCGTCTTATGCAGATGGCATCTGCGGGGAGAAACTGCCTTACATCGGCCTGACACAGACCCCACTGCCCCCCTATTATCAGACATCACCGATGCAAATAACACTACTTATTTCAGAGGTTCCCACAAGAAAAGTAGCAGTCTTCTTTATAGTACGCGTTATCAATACCTATAGCAAGTCAATCGCCACTCCTCAAAATCACGCCCTCCATGTTCGGCACCACCGATCCGACCTTGCAACAGCCAGACATCGACTATGCACCGAACGAAGAAAAGTGGCGCGCGAGGACTGAACGTCGCTTGAAGACGGAAACATTGGGAACTGAGCTACCCAAGGGTTTTCCTCGGAAGTTGAGTTCTCCTTTGGTGTGGGATGGCCAAACTCTTCAGGAAGACAGCCACAAGTGGACTTACAAACTAAGCTGCGGAGACCTGGAGGAAATCGACCAGGCTCTGAGACACTTTCAGGGTGAGTATCCCAAGCCGAAATAACTGTATTCCCCTGACTAAGGTCCCGACTCATGGCCTCAAGAGGCCGATGGGCTATGTCAGCCCGGAGACGTTCCCCCTCCGGAATCTCCATACTAAACTGCGAGAGGTTTCCAACGAGCTGCACAATGGTCGTGGATTTACAGTTGCGCGGGGTGTTCCGGTGGACAAGTACACACGAGAAGAAAATGCAATCATCTACGCCGGCCTCTCTGCTCACGTTGCACCTATGCGGGCCCGTCAGGTTTTTGGCAAACCCTCGCAGGCTGTTCTCATTCACGTCAAGGATCTCAGCAAAACTGATGAGAAAGAGTACATTGGGGTTGGTATGTACACTTCCGAGCTACTCACTTTTCATACCGATCTTGGAGAGATTGTCTCTTTGCTTTGTCTCGAGCCTGCGGCCGAAGGAGGCGCCAGTCAGCTCGCCAGCAGCTGGCATATATACAACCATCTGGCGAGCACAAGGCCCGATCTCATCCAAACCCTGGCCGATGATTGGCCACATGACACGTAAGTGCCGCCATTCTCGAGCATTCAACATCGTCGTAACTCCCGTACCTTATCATAGATTTGGAGCCGGCCGTTACGCCTACAAAATGAGGCCGGTCCTGCATTATCAACCGGCGACTACATCAACCCCCGAGAGAGTCATTATTCATTGTGTACGTCGATTTTCACCGGAGCCCCTGAAACTCCGAGGACACAGGGGATCCCGCCCCTTACCGAAGCACAGGCCGAGGCGCTGGATACCCTCCATTTTCTGGCGCAGAGATTCCAACTGCGTCTGGATTTCCACAAAGGGGACATCCAGTACATCAACAATTTGAGTCTCCTTCATGCTCGAGAGGCTTACACAGATTCTCCTGAACAGCAGTATGATTATCCTGTGGATCGGAACCTACGCGCTCTAATATGCTGATTGAAACAGGCGTCATCTTATGAGACTCTGGCTACGAGATCCACAACTTGCGTGGGAAGTGCCAGAACCAATGAAGCAGTCCCATAGCCTGGCGTATGACAATGTGGACCCGAACACGCAGGTTTTCCCGTTGGAGCCCAGCGTGCTTAGTGCGAGACCCCGGGGCAATAAAATTCCCCAACCCGCCAAAATCAATGGTATAAGATGAGGTTACAAGTGGCCCTATCGTGAATTTGGTCTAGAGCAATTAGTGGCATATACCATGGATAACAAGACACTATGCCGTTTCAAATACACCTCGTGGCCTTAAATTCAAAACATTTCCTAGAGTCATTTAGCACCACACATGAGCATCGTACAGAATAACACGGCTAGTTGAGGGCGCGGAATCCTTGGGCGAGGACGACCCACAGAACCCCGCAAGAAACATATGCCCGCTACTCATCCCGAACAGCAAAGCAAGAGGCGAAACCTGATGAGGTTAGTAGGAAGTCTGTGTCCCAGGTGCGAGGAGGAAACATATTGCCTGAACGAGACAGTTCAAGGGGATACTTAGATATCGTTATTGCCGCCTGAGATACAATGATCAAAGTTCAAGTGGGTGCCACAGTAGGCATTTTCCTTGAAGCTGTTCTTCGGGCCGACCTTCAGCCATCCACTGTAGGTACCACCGTGCGTAATGCGCAGACATTCAGTGTGGCATAGATTTCCGTTATCAACCTTCTGCATATACTTGTTAATCGCAGCTGCAATGGTGTCCTGCTGGGAAGTGGTATCGCAGTTGCGGCCCGAAGCATAGAACACGTATCTGATATCCCGATAGGTGCCATCGATGACACCACAATCGTGGTTATTCGAGAGATCCTTGATGATCTGTGCCATGCTCTTCGCCCAACCAACCACATAGCTTCCAATACCCAGACAGGCATTTGCCGTAATGATGTACCTGCAGACATCATCCGGACGGCGCTTCTGAAGATCAACCTCGGTAAAATTGCCAGTTAGACCCATCACGAGTGACTGAGCGTACTCGGGATACTCGACACCGCTCGCATCAATGAGATCGATCTGGTGCCACCGGTCCGGCAGAGGCTGGCCGTTGATAGAAGTAGGCGATGGCGAGCCATGAGCTAAGGTTGGCAAAGATAAGGCGATTGCCGAGACTGCAGTCTTCATAAGCAACATAGTATTGGTAGGTGTTGCACAAGATCAACGCAAAGATGATAAATGAGGGAAAGTATCGGAAGAACAATTGAGGAAGTCCTTGTGTCGGCATTGCAGAATTGCTGTTTCTTAGGTTCTAGGATATGGAATCAGTATCTTATTTAACAGCAAGTGCAACTGGGGCATACGAGAAGTTTCGCTTTGCTTCGTGACAATTTATACCAGGTGGATAGACAATGGTCAAGAGTTCATCAAAAAACATGGAGTTTTAGTGGAGTGACAGGGATCTTAAGTAAATCCAACAGGCAATATTGTACCGCAATGATGGATATTATCAAAAGGATATCACCTTGCTGAGACACTGAACCCAGTCATACTCCACTAGAGTCGTAGTACTCCATAGCTACTCCATCATGCCACTTAAACAATGTCCTCTAGACACGAAAGGTAGTTAGTGGATGCTCTGTTAGTAAATCCATGCTTACCTCATTCCAGCACAGCCCTGGAGGTATATATATGTGAATCTTATCTTGTATACTGAAAACCTACCGTCTCTTCAAACGCAGTGACTAGAGTATATTATATAGAGATGATCAGGCTCTAAGTGGGAGGAGACATAGGTAAACGAGCAGATCCACTGTGGAGAGGTAGGGCTGTATAGGGGGTGTGGAACGATTCATAGGATCATTTGATTGCCCAGCCAAATTAGGGCAATAAGATTTAATTGCTCCATAGAGGTAGCAAGATTATAAGGGGAAGGTATTGCGAACACCTGACATCATGATCTTTCACACTTTACCACAGGCTACAGTACTGGTGATTGGTTCAGGTCAGCATGGGGCTCGGTTTGGTTGTATACTCTGGCCAAATAAGGGGAGAAAGTGTGTTGTCCCACCGGCAGCTTTAGTGGGTCTGGTGGATCCTTGGATGCCCTAGTTAGGTGTGGGGGCGCGATCCCTAGAAGAACCATCTAGTGCGGACTCAGGTAGTACAGCTAGCCATATAGGGTCTGGGAGGGGGATTCCAGTGGATGAATGATGGTCAGGGACGATAGGGGTTGCCAGATCAATAGGCCAATCATCAGTTTCAGCTGCTGGGGTGAAGTGACCACCAGCATGCGGGCCCTAATAAGGTGGGATGTGGAAATCTATATTACTATAGTAGAGGTGCGCCTGCCTTGAGATTCCCTACACCAGCAGGTACCAAGTTCTGAGTGGACAATCTAGCAGGAATTAGAGCAGGGAGAGGCCAACCAGGCGACCTAGGCCACCTGGATCATCTGGTGGGAGAAGTAGTATTGCCTCAGTGTGGAGCAGCGCCTCCGGCAAAACCAGTCAGGCAAGCTGATCCCAATGGGTGCACGCTGGTTTCGCGGTCACACCAGTGAGTTAGGACTCAATAAGTGGCACGCTCAGATGTAGCGCAATGAGATGAACTGAATGATACCAAGATCATCCTTACCGGACTGGGTATTTCATTTTCAACACCTATCAACCAGGCTGTCCAGTCTCGCCGATCAGTGTGATGCCTTCGCATTCTGGGAGAGTGACCGACGGTCGATTGTTCTTCGTTACGACCACCCCTAATGCTGCCTTGCTAGTCTTGCCCTCCCAGTCAATGGGAACCCCAACCCTCGACCTTCACGACTCCGTCCCTGGTACTAGCGTTAAAGCCCTACAATTGATCCGTCTTTGACGTGAAGACCTTCCCGGTTCAACTACCCTGCTGCTCACTCACTTCAATCACTATTCGTCATGCCGCGAGTTGCAGTAGCCTCACGGGCAGTCATCCGCTCCACCCCCCGAAGGCGAAAGAGTCATATATCCAATTCCAAAACATGCGCCATCCAAAGACAGGAGCCATCGACGCGCGCTCCTCAGCAACTGTATTCTGCTACTCTCAATTGCAAAGCAAACACATTCCTATTTCTGGAGTAGCAACATAGACACTACTATCTCCTTCTTCCTTGTATAGGTTCCCTTCTGTCCATATGGATTGATCGTAGGCATCCCCCTTTTCTCGCACCTTTCCCTGATGTCTCAAATGCGCCTGAGGCTGGCCAAGTTAACTATTGCAGAAATTCTGTTCGAAAGAGTGGCTCGTGTCTGTGTGTCTCCAAGCAGTTCCACAGCCACAGGGGACTCAACCGGCTATATTCCCTGAATAGGTAGGCTCGGAAGCAAGCATTCTTCATCTCCCTCAGTTCATGTTTTGATTAATTCAGGCACCGTTCCCGGGTTTTTCCAGGGCAAAGACGAAAATGGGTTTTGTTGGGAAAGAGGAAAGCACCGCAAAGTAGCATATTGGGTGCTGGTTGATTGTCGCCCACAGTCAGCCTTAATCGAGGTGCATGGTTAGTCGATTCCTCGCACGTTTTAGGCCACCCGTGTTGGCGAACCATGCATGTACAATTACACCCCACAGTTGACAGCGCTTAGTTACTGGCTGACATTGTCCACAGCGAGGATAACTCGTCATTGCGACGCGTACAGTACCTGTAGAGCATTTCCCTTTCAAATACACCTCAGCCTTGCATGTGCCCAAGTTGTGAGATTATCATATAAAGCATCTAAGTGCGCCATGACTTGTAAACTCTCTGCTCGTTGCATTTAACTCTTCCATGGTATGTGCACAAAATTGCTGGTACTATTGCTGCGCATGATGGTCTCCCAAAGCTCTAATAAGGGTGATGATTCTTCTGGAATATCTTCTTAACCAGCTCAATATTTCTCACGTCTTCTAGTAATAGCCGATGCACAGATTACGGACTTTCTATTTTTTTGCCCTGTCCAGCTAGATATCCAGGAGAGGATTGACGTTAAGCTCCTGAGAGAAAAAGACTGTAAGTTTAATCAGGACAAAGCCATTGTACTAATGACTTCCGTAGTTGCAGATTTTAGCTGTTCCCAGAACGCAACGCAGGAGATATTGCACACTGTTCCCAAGAATGCCCAGGCATTGATTTTGTAAGCCCACTGTCATTCATAGCAAATGGCGTAATACACTCACATCGATATACCAGGGTCGTCTCTTCTAACACGTTGAACGAAGCTCGGAAATACCAAGGTAACGGTGACTTTATTTCTGGCTTAGGATTGGATCTCAGGGCCCCTCAGCTACAGTCGTATCATTCAGCATTTCATGGAGTCGGCTTGGATCGGGTATTGGGTAGGTTGAACGTGGCTGTTTTAATGATACTCCTGCTCACTGCCACGAGACATTCGCTTCAGTGCTGGCACGGCTAATCAGCCCGAGTCCCGAAATTATATCCCGTCTCAGTTACAACCTTCGGAGCGAAGATTTAACCTCGTGTATTACCGGTATGAGCTAGGAAACAAACGTTCAATATGCTTATTTTCGGAAAGACAAGCGGCAGCATCTTCCACCATACCGGAAAGGGACCGCGAAACAGAATCCTTCAGAAGACTTGAGAAATTGTCAGAGACACGATCGTTCTTCCTTCATCCATTTTGGAGCCATTTCGTGCTTCTTTATCATGTGATCGATACCAGGAATAAGCCCCTGGATAACTCCTTCCAGAAACTACTAGCGATTGAATCACAGCTCTTGGACGGAACGTTGATCAAGACCAGGCCCGCTGATGGATTTGGACAGGAAATTCAGGATTTACACGAAATCCTGCGAGCTTTAATCACTCTAACGCACTCCAACGAACTTGATTATTCATTGATAGGCAAGATTCTTTTGGACCTCGACTTGCTTTCCCAGGAGTGTTCTTCTCTTGGGGCCAAGTTTGCCTTCGATGCCGAGACCGAGAGCCGCATCAAGAGTGCCTTCCTATGTTTGCGGCATGTCTGCGAAGATAGGAAGAGAAGATGTAAAAGTCGCAAGCAAAGAGCTCAAAATCTCGTTGAACTGGTAGGCTTGCCCAAGCCATGTACTAATCTCCGTGCTAAACATTGTAGCTTTATAACCTCACGGCCACCCGCGTTAGTCTAACTTCTCCGGAAATAGCTCGGAAGAATGCTGATATTGCACGGGACACGAAAAGAGACAGCGAATCGATGTACGCTATCTCGATAG